CAGAGAAATTATGAACTGATACATGAATGAATAGAGTTAAGATTCGTACGGTTCCTTGCTGTGGTGGCTGAGAGCAGACATACGACCAGAACGGTAAAAAAGCTTTGGTGGCTGAGAGTAGACAAACGACTGCAAAGGGTTAATCCTCACCTGAAGATGATTTTTATTTAGAAAGAGAAGAAAGGAAGAGAAAGAGAAACATTGATCTGTTACCTCCCATAGGCACCCAAACTGGGGATTGAATCCATAACCTGGATTAGTGCCCTGACCAGGAATCGAACCAGGGACCCTTTGGTGCACGGGATAACACTAACCAACTGAGCCACGTGGCCAGGGCTGCATTTTTTTTTTTTTAACTTTTTCATTAATTTCAGAGAGGGAGGGGGAGGGAGGGAAGGGGGGGGGGAGAGAGAGAGAGAGAGAGAGAGAGAGAAACATCAATGATGAGAGGGAATCATGGATTGGCTCCTCATGCACGCGCCCTACTGGGGATTGAGCCCACATGTGCCCTTGACCAGAATAGAACCCAGGACCCTTCAGTCTGTAGGCTGACGCTTTATCCACTGAGCCAAACTGGCTAGGGCCATTTTCTTTTAAACCAAATTTATTTTACTCTCTGTGGATCAGAATGGGTGATTTCTATTATTATATCCTCCAGTCCACGGATTCTTTCCCATCTCCTTTAAACTGTTGTTTAGCTCATCCACTGAATTTTTGTACTTTAGTAATAGTTTTAAGTTCTAAAATTTCCATTTGATTTTTCCTTTCTTTGCTGAGACTCTCCTTTTCATTTTTTCCTATTGTGTTTGTAATTATTCTGGGAAACATTTTCATTATGGCTGCTTTCTATTGTGGAATAATTTTAACATTTCTGTTATCTTGATGTTCATTCACATATAGTGATTGCTTTTTTTCATTTAGTTTGAGATCTTCTGGTTCTTGTCTCTTTCCAGCCGGTGCCAAGCCATGGGCATCTCTCGGGACAACTGGCACAAGCGCCGCAAGACTGGGGGCACGAGAAAGCCCTACCACAAGAAGCGAAAACATGACCTGGGACACCCCGCTGCCACACTAAGATTGGACCTCGCCGCAGACACAGTCCGAGCTGGGAGGCAACAAGGACGAGCCTTGAGGCTGGACGTGGACAACTTCTCCTGGGGCTCAGAGTGTGGTACACGCAAAACAAGGATGACTGATGTTGTCTACAATGCACCCAGCAACAAACTGGTCCGCACCGAGCCCCTAGTACAGAACTGCATCGTGCTCGCTGACAGCACACTGCACCGACAGTGGAACGAGTCCCACTGGGCACTGCCCCTGGGCCACAAGAAGGGGGCCAAGCTGACTCCTGAAGAGGAAGTTTTTAAACAAAAAACGATGACAGAAAATTCATTAGAAATATGATGGAAGGGAAAAGAATGCCATAATCAGCAGTCTTCTGGAGGAGCAGTGCCAGCAGGCGAGCTCCTTGCCTGCATCGCTCCAGACCAGGCAGGTGTGGCCACCCAGAGAGCTGTGTGCCCGAGGGCAAGGACCTGCAGTTCTATCAGGAAAGTCACAGCCCAGAAAGGCAAGTGACTCCTCTTCCCGCCCATCTTAGCTCAGGTAACCAAGGTGTTTATTCTAAAAAAAAAAAAAAAAAAAAAAAAAAAAAAAACCTCAGTTCTTGGTATGATGCATAATTTTCAGTAAAAACCTGGACCCGGTAGGTTTTATGAGCTGGCTCTTAGTTAAATCCATTTTAGCTGAGCTTGTCTGACATCACAATGTCAGGGGAAAGCTGGCACTGCTTCATTGCTGCTTAGTGAGAGGATAAGTCCAGGTTTCCTATCACTGACACTCCTTGTCATTGCTGGGGTATGGGGACAAGGGAGTTCCCACTTCTCTCTTGGCATTCAGTGATAAGCCCTCTTGGCTACGAAGAGTTGAATGGCCTCCTCACTGCTCCCCAAATGGCCTTCAATGATAGCTTGTCAGGATGTATGTGGCTTCATTACCACTGGGGAAGAGATGCCTTAGTACACATGCCTGAGTAGGACGGAAGTCCGAGCTCCCCACTTGGTCTTCTCTGACACCACCATGGCAGTGGGGCTGGGAGCTCCTCAGCTTGGCAGAGGCAGGAGTCTAGGCTCCCCACTTAGCGTGTGAGTAGTAGTGAGGTTACAAATGTTCTGTTATGTTCGTGGGAAGAGAACAGTTGTTGTCTAAGTTTTCCGACTTGCTGGGTTGCTGCTCTCCTGGTCCTTCATCTAGAGAGAGCAGGATTTTGTCGGAGCGTTTGTTCATGCTCACTGGCATTTCCAGACTGCCGGCTTCTTCAACTCCAAGTCTGGAATACATATGAGGCAAAAAGAAAACCCAGAGAACACAGTGCTGTTTTGTTGCTTGGTCCCTAGGTCCCTGGCTGGTGTGCCTTCTTCCCTTCCCTTGTAAGAGTCTTGGAAATGTAAGCTGCAGTTTTTCTTTTTTGTACTGCAAGTACAAAGCTTAAGCTTAAGCTTTGTTTGCCTAGGAGTCCATTTCAAAGACAGCTACGTCCAATACACACACATCGCCAGCCACTTGACTGGACAAAAAGCCAGGCTGAGGTCCTGCACTGCGGCTCCTTTGTTTTAGGGATCGTGGTTGACTTCAATAACTGACATTTGAGCTACTTGTTTTCTCTTCCAATGCTTTACATCCCCACGCTTATGTTTTAAGTTCACCAATAACCCAGCCCCCACAACCTTACTGTGTGGCCCCATGTGTGCCGTGTAACGTCTAGGTTTTGTTAGTCATAAATCTGCATATTCCCAGGTTCCTGATGGTTATTGCTGAAGGGTGTCTTAATCATAGTAAGAGTCAAAAGGCTGGTCTACCAATACCCTTGGTTATTGACAGGCTGGGACAGTACAGTCTCCTCATGTTGATTTTTATAATGATGCGTGTTTATAGCTGTACTTTGTTGGAGGAATAGGGAAAAGTACATCTACTCTATCATCCTAGTGGTGCAGGTCTAGAAATTTACTCTTGTGGGTTCCTTTTTTAAAAATGTTTTTATTAATATTTGAGAGAGAGAGGAAGGGAGAGGGGGATAGAAACATGGATCAACTACCTCTGGTACATTCCCTACTGGGGATCAAGCCTGCAAACTGGGCATGTACCTTGATGGGGAATCGAACCAGTGACCTCTTGGTACATGGGACAAAGTTCAACTAACTGAGCTACATCACTCAGCTTTTGTGGGTTCATTTTAAAATATTTATATATATATATATATATTTATTGATTTCAGAGAGGAAGGGTTCATAGGTCAATGCTCAATCACTGAGCCATGCTGGACATGCTGTGGGTTCATTTTGATAACAATTAAAAAGAAAAATTTATACAGTTTTACCAACCCTATATAATAAAGAGCTAATATGCAAATGGTCATCACACCCTCGCGCTGGAACTGCTCAGACATTCAACAAGGGGGGAGAGAGGAATGGAGACCAGCCAGGCACAAATGAGGTCAAGAGAGAGGAATGGGGACCAGCCAGGCTGCGGCCCGGGAGAGGGATAAGCCGTCCGCTCTGTGGTTCCAGGTGCCTGCGGCTGTGGCCCAATGAAGCTGCCTGTCCATGGTCCCCTGCTGCGACAGGCCGGAGGAGGGAATCCTGGGTCCCGGGTGCGGTGCGAGGCAGAGGTGGTTAGGGGCGATCAGACAGGCAGGCAGAGGGGATGGGGCAATCAGGCAGGCAGACAGGCAGGCAGGCAGCGAGCGGGTAGCAGCCAGCGGTCCCAGATTGTGAAAGGCAGTCGGACATCCCCTGAGGGCCCGGGATTGGAGAGGGTGCAGGCCGGGCTGAGGGCGCCCCCCCAGCACGAATTTCGTGCACCAGGCCTCTAGTTCTATTATAATCGCTTCAAAGATATTCATAGGTTTAAGTAAAAAATAAAATACAAACAATAGAATTATCTACTCTTACCTTGCTCACTGCCATTTGCACAAATGTGAAGATTGACATATGCACAAGCAGGGCCAGGTGTGGAGGATCCCCTGGTGAGTGTAATTTCCAGGTCAGACCCCTTTAACTGAGCAACAGGAAGAAGTGATTGTGTAACTGCAGCATCTAACCACAGGGTCACAAATAACATAGCAACCATTTCTTTTTAAGAGCAAGAACTTTCTACAATTCTGAGAGATTATTCAATCCCATCAATAAAACAATCAAGGGCTATATTCCCCCCTTTTCTTTTTACCTTGTTTTTTAACACATTGTATGCGGGAAACGTATTTATACGTTTCAGAATTTTCACATATTTTATTATGTTTATTTCAATTTCCAGTGAGTTTTCCAGTATTTGTCTGTTTAAAATTTAAGAAAAATAATTCAGTATACATTTTATAGTAAATCACAAAAAGTTTCATTGAAAAAAATATGTAAAACTAAAGTTATCGTAATTTTACTGAACGTTGCCATTTGCGCAAAAAATTAGCAAAAATGGCCCGCGCCACCTGTTAGCGCGCGATAAAAACTACCCGCAAACAATGTGTTAAAAATATACACAAAATAAACAATGAAACCATCTTGTAAACGGCCCCACTGAAAAGACAGTCATTTCCAGCCCTTACCTGTCTATCTTATTTGCCCTATACCAAGTCGGAACAACATAGGAAGCAAAAGATTCAATAAATTACTGACAGATTTTCTTCCCCTGTTATAAATGACCAACTTCGGGCTGTGCCTTGTTATCAGATTTCCATAGTCACCTCTAAAATGTACCAACAGGAAATGAAATTTTAGTTTCATGTATAACCTACTACCTTAAAAGTTAATTGCTTTTCAAGTCAATTGCAGTTTAACAGTAATTCTCAGAACCCATGACACTGACTTCTGTAGTTTCAGACACAACTGTAACTCCTGGCTGCCTTCCTTCCCCTCTCCTGTTCTGGACGTCATCTCTCTGACCCTCCTGACTGTCATCCAGAGCCATTGCTAATGGGGAGACAGAATTATCAAGATGTGAGCACATAAACTTAACTAAAATCTATAACTAAATCTCTTAATAGTTCCACAGAACTCACCTGCATTTTTTCCTGAATAAGGATTTTATCTGATGTAGCGACTGGATATGGTTTCAAGGGAGCCTTTATGGTGGCAAATATGAACTCCATGTGGCTTTCAATAATGGTGCTCAGATAATTTCCTTCAGACTTTGCTGTGTAATAAACTGTTATTTCATCAGTGGGAACCAGATTGCACTGAAAGCACATACAGAAAAAGTAAAATGGGAAGCACTTGATTAGTCAGCAGGTAAGATGCTGTTGAAGAAGGGCTGACAATTCCATGCTGAGTCATCCTGGAAGGGACCAGTCTTCGTCCTGCTCTCCTGGGAAACGAAGGCAAAGGCGTGGCGCAGTGAGAGCCACTCCCAGAGCTCTGTGCTAGCCCAGAGTTCCATGCCCCTGTTTCTCTGCTGGAAGTGGCCTCCTCAGACCCTAAACTACAGATTTCAAACCTGGCCTCATGAGGAGGGCCGGTGGGTGCCCTCCTAGGGATAACAGCTCCTTGGCTCCCTCACCTGGTGAGGGCAGGCAATGGGCTCAGCCCTCCTGTCCTGGCTCCCAACTTCTGAATAAGGAAGGATCAATCCTTCGGTCCAGATACAACCCTACCTCCCCTGAGCCAGAAGCCCTTTGATGCTGATGTGACTGCACCTCCCCTCTCACACAATGGCCCTCTTATGGCCTTCTGCGCCCGCCAGGAGGGCTATGGACCTGGAAGATGGTTTTGTGGAAGCTCAGGGAAGTGGGAAAAGGAGGACAAGGGGCACCGCTGGCTGAAAGCTCCCAGTCAGAGAAACAAAACACCCACATCCAGCCTGGGAGTGAATAAGCAGGGAGGGGGGCCCATCTCCTGTAGAGGACCAGCTGAACAAACTCATGTTCATTAAGTCATTACCTACCTCTCCCAACCTCCCCAATAAATAAGACAAAACAAACAAAACTTCAAATCAGCAGCTTACTCTCAATGTGACAAACCTTTTTGCGAAGTTTCTGGATGCGATTGATGACTTCCCGAGCCACCCCTTGATCCACCATTGCCTGGTCAGGGGTGACATCTAAGAGAACCAAAGCCTGCAGGAATGAACAGAGCATACCATGACAATCAAATAGAGAAAAACAGTTCTTTCAAATTCAGCAAAATGCTATTTAAAACTAAGCTCTGAGAAGTCTAACATGCAGCACTATTTATTCACAAAACTAAGCAAAGAACACAGTTAATCTAGTTTCTTTATAGTTCGGTTCCTGTTTGTAACCAGGGTCCTTCATATCTGGAGAGAGGGCAGCTTTCCCTTTTTCTTCTGCAGGGTGTGCTCACAGGAGACCGTGAGACTGGTCTGTTAGTCTCTCAACTCTGCTTTTTTGGTCTGTTTAATAAATAGTGCCAACTCTTGTAATAAAAATATCAGTAGTCATAAAGCCTGTAGAACAGCTTTTCAAATGGATCTACCACAACAAATGAATTAAAGGCAGTACCTGCCAGTTTCTTAAGCCATGACCCCTTTTTATCCTTTGGTTTATTAGTGGGATTCAAGAAGCAATTTCTACAAGTTTAAATTGCCACCTTCTTGTCAACTTTGTCTACTTTTCTCTCTCACCTATTCTGAAGGTTGTTAATGATGATGTACTAATATAAGTATCACTTCTAATAGAGGGGAATATACTTATAAAGTAGGTAAGATCACCATTTATCGTAAAGGAAACTCAATCAGAGAAGTTAAACTTTGTGAAGGTGCAGAAGTCAGCAATGGAAATGGATGAGGAGTCAGGCAGGTTGGTGGGCCCACACTGACCACTTCAGGCCCTCCCTCCCATTGGCTGGAGCCCGGAAGGACTGCACCCGCTGTGTTCACAATCCTCCCTGCCCTTCTGGCTACCTCGCCTTTGGCTCTGCACCAGTCTGCCTACATGTTGTCTACAACTAGCTTAAGCCCTGTGCAAAGGCTTGAGGAGGCTGGCCTCTTCAGACAAGGTACTCCTCCCCTCCCCTCATCTGGCATGGTAGCCACAGAGGGTCTCCATCAAGCCCCCACTCCCACAGTGGAGCCCCAACAACCTATCTACCCCGAGAAGTCTGATCAGGAGTGAAAGGAGATGCTGTGCTCCATCACAATAAAAATGTTGACCCCAGAATCCAAAACTGCCCGCACTCCCTAGCCATCTACCCACACTCGATAGGAGCTCTTCTCTGGACTTATTTCTACCAGATAATTTATCAGGCAGAATAACATGTGGCTCACTCTCCTATCTCCATGACTGGCTTATTCCTTGAAGAGTGGGGTAACATCTGACTCCTTGTAGTATGACCCAATACTTAGGACAAGTACTCCCATGTAGAAGTCACAAAATATCTATTTATGCACTGGTTAAAAGGCATATGTAAAGAGCGTATCATAGAGAAGTTTAATAAGCCAATTTAAAATGAATAACTGGTTTGTTTAACACCAACACAAGCTGTTAATAACACTTTCAGGAAAGGCACAGGTACAGTATAATTTCTCCACTATGATCTTATTTTTATCAAGAAATGCTCTAGGGCACAGAAAAATACCTGAGCGTCCGAGTGTGCTTCAAACTGGGCTGTCTCAACTGTTGCTTGATCAAAGGTGTACATAAGGCGAATGTCATCTTCATGCAATTCATGGCCTTCCACAACAATGGACCCTAGTAGAGATGCAACTGCCACTGTTAATCAGTCCCTCTTCCTCCACAAACTGTCCTGCTACAAGTACATTGTGCCACTTTTTGACAAAATATTTGTAGCCTCTACAGAGGCTTCATGATATCAAGTCCTCCTGACCCAATGTCTATGGCTGTATATAAACTCCCAGGTCCAAAGACATGCCAGGAGGCCATGAATCCCCGCCTTAAATACAGACTTCATGATGTAATGAAGGATGCAGTCTTTAGAGTCAAATCAAATGAAGGCCCACCCCTCAATGATGGTAGGGCCTCGGTCCCATTGTGTGCTGAGCAGTGTGCCATCAGGTAGGTTAAATAAGGTGAACAGTATGATATTCTCAGTGTAATTCCTGCCAGCCCAAGCAGAGGAACCACCAAGGCTGGCAATTCCCATCTTCAGGAAGCCCGTGTGGTTACCATTCATGTTCTTGGTCTCTGAGCACTGAGCTGCCATTCTCACTTCCTGTCACTGGGATCTCAAATTTATTTTGCTTTCCATCAGTGCAGATCAGTCTATTCAGAAACTACAGTTTAAAAATGGCCGCCTTTTGGTTTCAAATATGATGTATTTCAGAAATTTTTGATATTTTGGCTATCTGATAAAACAACTTAGATTCACAACTGGAAAGATGATCAAAGATTTTATTAATTTAATATATCAAGTTAAATTAGTTATGACTCAACTTTTAGTTGCTAGCCTCTCATGTAAGACCTCCAGATAAATTTTATCAAACAATTTGAGGAATCCTAAGGACATTTCCATCAACACTCATCTGAGCTGAGTCTTTAAATATCTTTTCATGTCACTTCTGTGCTTATGATTTTCAACTTTAGAGGGAGCCCTTAACTTCCAAAACCTTGCATCCCCGGACAGCTGCAGATGCTAAGTGGCTGTAAAGAGGCCAATCATGATTCTAATCACAGCAGAGCCGATAACTTCTGAACCCATGGATATGAGAGCTGACTCCTTTCCTAAACTCCTCAGTGTCCCACAGGTTTCCATCCCAGCACTTTCAACAATTACCTCCATATGTCTTCCACGTCAACCAGCACAATGAGGGTGAGAACAACGTCTGTCTTATTATTAAAATCTATGTTGCCAGTGCCACCCAAACAGAAGGGCTCTGAGTGAACAGAGCCATCCTTGGCCAATTAAGAGACCAGTATGTGAATTCTAGAAATTTTAGAGAAACTGACAGGTTCTGACTTAAGTCATCATCTCCCCCACCTACTCCCAATAGCACCCCCAAGGGTTCTTTCTCTTTGACGAGGGCAGATTTTCTGTGCCCACATTAACATTTGTAGAATTCAATGGTAACCATCTGATTCTGTAATTTCTACCTAGAAATTTAGTCCAAAGAAATCAATTTCACAAAATATTCACATGAAAATATTCATTGAAATATAACATAGTATTAAAAAGAATGAAAAAAAAAACACATAAGGTACCAATAATAAAAGACTGATTAAAACCATTATCAGATATCCATATGAAGGCAAATTAGACAGTTATTGAAATAGGATTTTAAAATAAACACTTAGAAAAGTTTATAATATATTATTAAAAATGCAAAATAAGCCCTAACCGGTTTGGCTCAGTGGATAGAGCGTCAGCCTGTGGACTGAAAGGTCCCAGGTTCGATTCCAGTCAAGGGCATGTACCTTGATGTGGGCACATCCCCAGTAGGAGGTGTGCAGGAGGCAGCTGATCGATGTTTCTCTTTCATCGATGTTTCTAGCTCTCTATCCCTCTCCCTTCCTCTCTACAAAAAATCAATAAAATATATTTTAAAAAAAAGTAAAATAAAAAGGGGAAACAAAATGCAAAAATGAATGAGAAACAAAATTTAAAGTTACAGTGTGATCTGTTTCTATGTAACTAAAAGGAAATGAATCAGAATTTTATGTAAGACCTCCAGATAAATTTTATCAAACAATTTGAGGAATCCTAAGGACATTTCCATCAATTTCCATCATCACTCATCTGAGCTGAGTCTTTAAATATCTTTTCATGTCACTTCTGTGCTTATGATTTTCAACTTTAGAGGGAGCCCTTAACTTCCAAAACCTTGCATGCCCGGACAGCTGCAGATGCTAAGTGGCTGTAAAGAGGCCAATCATGATTCTAATCACAGCAGAGCCGATAACTTCTGAACCCATGGATATGAGAGCTGACTCCTTTCCTAAACTCCTCAGTGTCCCACAGGTTTCCATCCCAGCACTTTCAACAATTACCTCCATATGTCTTCCACGTCAACCAGCACAATGAGGGTGAGAACAACGTCTGTCTTATTATTAAAATCTATGTTGCCAGTGCCACCCAAACAGAAGGGCTCTGAGTGAACAGAGCCATCCTTGGCCAATTAAGAGACCAGTATGTGAATTCTAGAAATTTTAGAGAAACTGACAGGTTCTGACTTAAGTCATCATCTCCCCCACCTACTCCCAATAGCACCCCCAAGGGTTCTTTCTCTTTGACGAGGGCAGATTTTCTGTGCCCACATTAACATTTGTAGAATTCAATGGTAACCATCTGATTCTGTAATTTCTACCTAGAAATTTAGTCCAAAGAAATCAATTTCACAAAATATTCACATGAAAATATTCATTGAAATATAACATAGTATTAAAAAGAATGAAAAAAAAAACACATAAGGTACCAATAATAAAAGACTGATTAAAACCATTATCAGATATCCATATGAAGGCAAATTAGACAGTTATTGAAATAGGATTTTAAAATAAACACTTAGAAAAGTTTATAATATATTATTAAAAATGCAAAATAAGCCCTAACCGGTTTGGCTCAGTGGATAGAGCGTCAGCCTGTGGACTGAAAGGTCCCAGGTTCGATTCCAGTCAAGGGCATGTACCTTGATGTGGGCACATCCCCAGTAGGAGGTGTGCAGGAGGCAGCTGATCGATGTTTCTATCGATGTTTGCTCTCTATCCCTCTCCCTTCCTCTCTACAAAAAATCAATAAAATATATTTTAAAAAAAAGTAAAATAAAAAGGGGAAACAAAATGCAAAAATGAATGAGAAACAAAATTTAAAGTTACAGTGTGATCTGTTTCTATGTAACTAAAAGGAAATGAATCAGAATTTTAACAGTGCCCCAGCACCTAACATATTATATACCTCTAAAATATGTGTGTGTATATTTTTTATTGATTTCATATATCAATAATA